CCCTCTCTCTCCCTTTCTCCCCTTCTATCTTTCCCCCTCCACCTCTCTCCCCCTCTCTCCCCTACTCTCCCCCCTTCTCTCGTTCCCTTCACCCCTTCTCTCTTTCCTCTCCCCTCTCTCTCCCTCTCTCCCTCTCTCCCCTCCTCTCTCTTTTCTCTCTCCCTCCTCTCTCCTCCTCAGAGGTTCCTGAAACCCTACTTTGCAACCACCTCCCATCCAATGTCCAGCAAACCAAATTAGAACCTCCTAGGAAACCTCAGCTCAGCCAAGGGAACCTGCAGATGCAGAAATTCATGTTTCAGCCACCAGGTGGCAACAATGGCCCTTCCAGCTCTGGTCCTCTTCAACCAGCCATTGGAGTCAGGGGAAAGGTCAGAGGAGACTTCTGTCATCAGCTGGAGCGGGTCCAGCTTGAAGGCAGTTAGTGTGAATATTTAGCAACGATTAATTACTCTTCTAACTACTTTATCTACAAAAGCCCCTTTGAGCTTTAGGACCACCCACTGAGGTCCAGAGTAATGATCTGTTTTCCACTGGAGGAGCGATAATGAGGTTCGCTGATGTGTCTCTATTTTTTTTAAAATAGATTTATTGAGGTACAGTTGATAGACAAAAAAAATTGCACCCAGTTAATGCATGCAATTTGTTGTGTTTGGACATATGCATATACCTGTTGAAACCATGACCATAATCAAGGTAAGAAATATATCTCTCACTTCTCAGTGTTTCCCTGTGTCTCATGTTTTGTTTGTTTGTTTGTGGTAAGAAAATGTAAGCCCTGGACGGTAGCTCAGTACGTGAGAGTGTCTTCCTGATACACAAGGTTGTGGGTTCGATCTCCACTCAGGACACATACAAGAAGCAACCAATGAATGTGTAAATAAGTGGAACAAGAAATTGATGTCTCTCTCTCTCACTCTCTCTCTTTCTCAAAAAATACAACTTAATAAATAGCCCAGTTGGCAGAGATCAGTGTTTGAGTGTCGACCTATGAACCAGGAAGTCCCAGTTCGATTCCCAGCCAGGGA